AGAAATTTGCTGTAAATTTTCCCCAGTTTCCTGTTTTCCTTCTAATTTTGGCTTGCATTAGTTTTATAGGGAAAAAATTTAATTTCATAGAGTAAAATTATCCACTTTACTTCCCATGAGCCTTTCTATCTCTTATTTGATCATAAACTCTTCCCTTATATATCTGCGAGGTACATTTTTCCATGCTCCTCCAATTTACTTGGGATATCACCCTTTGTGTATAATCATTTATGCACTTTTACCTTATCTTGGTATATGGTATGAGATGTGGATCTCTATCCAGTTTCTGCCAAACTGCTTTCCAGTTTTCCCAGCAATTTTTATCAGATGTTGAATTCTTACCCCAAAAGCTTGGATCTTTGTGTTTATCAAACACTAAAATGCTATGGCCATTTACTACTGTGTGTTGTGTACCTAATCTTGTAACACTGATCCACCATTCTATTTCTTAGCCAGTTCCAGATTTTTTTCATGGTTACTGTTTTGTAATATAGTTGGAAATCTAGAACTTCTAGGGCTCCTTCCTTCACATTTTTTTTTCGTTGATTTCCTTGATATTCTTGATCTTTTGTTCTTCTAGATGAAATTTATTGATTTTTTTCTAGCTCTATAAACTAATTTTTTTAAGTTTGATTGATTTGGCACTGAATAAGTAAATTAATTTATGTCAGATTGTCATTTTTATTGTATTGGTTCAGCCTGCCCATGAACAATTAATATTTCTCCAGTTGTTTGTTTAGGTCTATCTTTATTTGTTTCATGATGGCCTGCTTGAATAGGTTCTGGATAATGGACTATACTTTTGTACTTTCCCAGTCACCAACAGAGTAAAGCAAGACTGTGTGCTTGCTCTCATGCTTTTTATAAAAAGTATGATGTTTTCAATGATGTTATCAGATGCCTTCAACAAGAATAAAGAACAGCATCAAGGTCAGCCACTGCATTGATGATAAATTATTTAACTTAAAAAGACTACAAACCAATACTAAAAGTGGAAGGAGAGATGGTGTATGACTTTTTGCATGCAGATGATTGTGCAGTTAATGTAGCCTCTGAGGCTAAGATACAACAGAGTATGAATCAGTTTTCTGCTACTTGTATTAATTTTGGCCTGACAATTAGCACCAAGAAAACAGAGGTTCTCCACCAGCCAGCATTGCACCCTCCATATGTAGAACTATCAGTTAAAGCAAATGAAAAAATTTGAATGCTGTGGAAAAGTTCATTTACTTTGGTAGTATGCTTTCCAGGGGTCCATGCGTTGCCAGAGCTAGCTCATTGTTTGGAAGGCTTCAAAGGGAAATGTGAGAGAAAAGACTGCCTACCATACTGAAGGTCTTCAGAACTGTTGCTCTGACTTCATTGTTGTGTGCCTGTGAATCCAAAGGGCTGGTTATATTGTTTGAATGCCAGGTGTACATTTGCCTAAAAGACTGTTCTACAGAAAACTTCTACAAGTCAAGTGTTCACATGGAGATCAGAAGTGATACAAGGACACTCAAGGTCTCTCGAAAGATCTTTGGAATCAATTGTGAGACATGGGAGACATTGGCACAGGGACCTCTCAACATAGTGTGCTCAGATGAAGGAAGATGCTGTGCTCTGTGAAGAAAGAAGAATTGCAGTAGCTCAAAAGAAATGTGAGATGTGCAGATTTAGAGTCATCTATACTCTAAATGTTCATATGGACTATTTATGCCCAACCCATGGTACAGCGTTCTGAACTTGTGTTAGTCTGATGTATTTTATATTGTCTTCGGTTATTTTAAATGAAATTTCTCTTTCTGTCTCTTCCTGCTGGGTTTTGTTGGTAGTCTGTAGAAATGTTGGTGATTTATATGGATATGTTTTATATCTTGCAACTTTGCTAAAGTTGTTAATTGTTTCAGCTTAATTTTTAGTTGATTGTCTAGAGTTCTCTGAGTATATATACCATCACATCTTCAGCAAAGAGTGATACTTTTGTTTCCACATTGCCTATTTTTATTCCTTCACTTTCTTTTTCTTGTCTCATTGCTGAGCATTATGCATATTATTGAATAATAGTGGTGATAATGGGCATCCTTGTTTCATCCCTGATCTTGTTGGGATGGCTTCAAGTTTGTTCCATACATATATATATATATATATTTATATTTATATTCTTGGTTGGAGGTAGATACTACTTATCATTTTAAGAAAAGTTTTATTCCTATGCTTTCTAATGTTTTTAAAAAGAGTAGTTGTATTTTGTCAAGAGCTTTTTCTGTGTCTATTGATTTAATCATGCGATTTTTGTTATTGCTATGGTCAATTATGCTTATAGTTTTCCTGATATTGATATATTTGATGCAGTGATATTATTAATATATAATATCTGCCCTATATTCCTGATATAAATCTCATCTGATTGTTGTATATGATCTTTTTGCTAGTTTTTTTAATTAAAATTTTTGCATCAATATTCATTAAGGAAAGGTCAATATTTTTCTTGCTCTGTTTTTGCTGTCCCTGGTTTAAGTTTCAACACCATATTTGTGTCATGTAAAAATTTGTTTACCTGTTTTTTCAGATAGTTTATATAGTATTGAGATTCATTGTTCCTTGAATGTTTGATAAGGAATTACTTCTAAATTCTAGGAGTTTTCATTTTGGAATCTCTTGAGCAGTGATCAGCGGATTCTTTCAGTTTCTATTTTGCCTTCTGGTTTGAGGATATTGGGGCAGTTTTCCTTGATAATTTTTCAAAATATGATGTCTATGCTTCTTTTTTTTTAATCATGGCTTTCGGGTAGTCCAATAATTCTTAAATCATGTCTCCTTAATCTGTTTTCCAAGTCAGTTGTTTTTATGATGAGATATTTCATTCTAGTTCTGTTTCTTCTAATTTTTCATTCTCTTGATTTTGATTATTTTTTGACATCTCATGCAGTCATTAGCTTCCACTTACCCATTTCTGGTTTTTAAAGAATTATTTTCTTCAATGAACTTCTATACTTCTTTTTCCATTTGGCTAATTCTGTTTTTTAAGGTGTTATTTTCTTTCGTATTTTTTGTGCTTCTTTTTACCTAGCTGGTAATTTCAGCATTTTCTTATGATGCTCCCATTTCTTTACCTAATTTTTCTTTTACTACTCTTACTTAATTTTGAAAAATCATTTTTGAGCTCTTCCAGGAATTCTTGTTGGGCTTTTGTCCAGTTCACATTTTTCTTGGAGTCTTTCCTTGAAGATATTTTGACTTCATTGTCTTCTCAGTTTGTGTCTTGTTCTTCCCCACCTCCATAGTAAATTTTTATAATCAGTTTCTTTTTTTTGTTGTTTACACATTTTTCTCATCCTGTTTCTTGATTTTGAACTTTATATTAAAGTTAGACTCTGATCAGGGCATGTGGCAGGGAATCAGCACTGTCTCAAGCTTTAAGCTTTTCCCACACTGCTGTTTTCAAAGCTAGTTCTGGGGATTTTGAAGTTTTCAGTGCTTCCAAGGTGATATGATCTAGGGAGAGTTGTAGTCACTATTCCCCTGGTCTTTGCTCTGGTGCTTGCCCAGAAAGGGTCCTTGTTTCCTTGAGATTGCTCTTAAGAGATACTTCTGTTAATAGAATTAATCAGAATTCTTTCTCTTAGTTTTGTTCTTACCTAATCTAGTTAAGGCCTGATGAAATAGGGCTTCTGTGTAAAATGAATTAATCAAGCACTGGACTTCTCTGTCTTTGGTTCGTTCTTCTCTTCTGGGAGAAAAGAGTTCTTCACTGAAGGTTGACTTGGTTTTAAGGTTGGGTTAGGCTTTTGAAAAGAAGTTCAAAAGGATTTCAGACTAGACCTCTGATTAAGTACTGATAAGGTTCTTTATTTAGGTTGAATCCAGGATTTTAGCATAAGTACTAGACTAATATTATTTTGAATATAAAGGGGGGGGAGAGAATAAGCATTTATTAAGTGTCTACTATTTTACAAACATTATCTCAAGTGATCTTCACAACCACCCTTACCTTCATTTTATGATTGAAGAAAAGGATGCAAATAGATTAAGTGATTTGATCAGGGTCATACAGCTAGTAAGTGTCTGAGGCTAGATTTGAACTCAGGTCTTCCTGACTTCAGGCCCTCTTTCCACTGTGCCACCTTTCTGGAGAACAAAGGAGGCTAAGGGTGTTCTAGTACGTTTCTACAGTAGTTAAGCCAGACTCTTTAGAATGGCTATGAATTAGAGGCTTTCCGGTGTTCCAGGACATGATAGAATTAACACAATGTCATCTACAAAGAGGAATCTGAAGGACTTCACCATCTTTTGGGAATACTTCTTTAACTTGAATTTTTTTATTGTATCTCCTCCATGACAATTTTGAATCCGTTTAACAAGAATATGCATCCCTATGTAGTGCCTCACTTGATATTAATGTCCATAGGGTCATCCAAACAATATCAGCTCTGTCATGACTTTCAAAGGCATATTGCACAATTTTGAAATACATGTGAGAGATAGCTTGCTCTGGAAATAACCTTCCAAGGCATTGTTTTGCCAAATCAAATAATTTTTTTGCCTAATCACATTATTATTTATGTTCAACAAACAAGCATAATGAAGACTTGTATCCTCTTCATCTTTTAATCAATTATGTGATGATAATATGGGGTATGCTGTAAAATATCAGTTGCAAAAGACTTCCTATTATCATCATTATGGATATCCTTCTTAGGAACAAAGATTATTCACATAAAAAGTAGTAAAGTAAGCATGTGACTTAGTAAAGGATCATAGATTAAAAAGCCAGTAGAGACCTCAAGCCATCTAGTCCAAATGCGTCCTGTTACAAATAAGGAAATTGAAACCTAAAAAGGTTAAGTGACTTGTCTGTGGTTATACAGGTAGCAAACATTAAGCATCATGTCTTAACTATTTACCTTACAATAAAATTCAGTTACTTTCATATTTTGTATTGTTTTACTAAGTTCGGCCATAAGAAGAGATATGAGAGTGCTCCCTCCTTCCCTTCTTTGCATAAGTTTAGAACTATGGATATGGATATGGATATATGTGTATGTAGATATAGATAAATAGCTAATGTGCTGATTAGTTTTACTCCCTCTTTTCTCTTTATTTTTTCATTAGAAAAGTTGGTTCTCAGGGTAAGGGTAGGAGTAGGTAGACATTAGGAAATGAAGGATTTGCTGAGTCAAATGATACCAATACAACTTTTTAATATGAGGAAAGTAAAAATCTTTAGATTTTATAAAGGAACATCTTTCATTGTCTAGGTGTATTAGGCTCAGATATTGTTTTAAAAGATTATTTAATTGTCTTTAAAATGTTATTGCATAGTTATGGCAGTTAAATCCTAATACAGACTTCTGGTGATAGATATTATTAGTAATTGTATTAGTAGTGGAAAATTAAGCAAACCAAACAACTGCAGTTCTTTTTATCACTATTGCAAACACATTGCCCTTCCTTGTTATAACTTAGCTTGTCACTTGAAAAAAAATGTTTTGTGTTACCTATATTTGTATCCATCTTCCTGCAAGTGCAGATTAAGGATGGGAGCCATATAATGTGCTGACCACTTGAGGAGGAAGAGCTTAAAGTTTTGGCAAAGGTAAATGACCGGGGAGTTGGAAATAGCACCTTTGCCTGTTATATTTATACACATATGTGAACTATTTGTATAAATTTATACACTAATAATACTAAATTATTTTGAGTTCCTTTAGATGCATATATGTGATAACATGTATATATTTTCCCTAAGAATTTTTAGCAGAAACTAAGTACTCTAGATATATAGTATTTCTTAAAGCTGAAGTTTATAATAAAAGTGTTAACCTCTTTCCCAGAAGTTTTATTTAAACTATAAGAATATTCCCTCACTTTTTGTCAAGTTTTAGTAAAGAGTCTTTAGCTGGGTAGCTTAGTGGATAAAGTTCCAGGCCTGAGTTCAAATTTAAGCTCACATACTTAACTACCTGTGTGACCCTTGGGCAAGTCACTTCACCCTGTTTGCCTCCGTTTCCTCATCTGTAAAATAAGCTGGAGAAGGAAATGGCAAACCACTCCAGTGTTTTTGCCAAGAAAACCCCAAATGGGGTCACAAATAGTGGGGCACAACTGAAATGACTGAACAACTTTTGAATCCCATTCAGAATTGTGGCATATGTTGGAGTATTTGTTGTTGTTGTTGTTGAATCATTTCTTGGCAAAGAGACTGGAGTGGTTTGCCATTTCCTTCTCCAGCTCATTTTACAGATGAGGAAACTGAGGCAAACAGGGTTAAGTGACTTACCCAGGGTCACATGGCTAATAAATGTCTGAGGCCAAATTTGAACTCAGGAAGGTAAGTCTTTCTGACTCAAGGCCTGACACTCTATTCACTGTGCCACCTAGCTGCCCCTCTGCTGGAGTATTACTATTAATAAGCATTTATTGAGCTGTACCACACACTGTGCTAAGCACATAGAATACAAAGAAAAATATAAAATCTCTTAAGCAGCTTACATATAGTAAGTGATTTCAAAATAGTTGCTGACAAATCTGTGTTCACTATTTTTTTCTTTTTAATAAAGGTGGGAAAAGTGAAAATAATGGTGCCAGTGATGCCTTCTGATATTTTCTCAGTGTTTTGTCTTTGTGTATGTATATAAGTATAGATGGAAGATTCTACCCAGAAACGCATAATCCAGATAACAGGATTTAGAGACAAAGAGAAAGAAGATCTAACCAAATTGCTTTTAAAACTAGATTGCATTTTTATTAAGAGTAAGGTAAGTAGAAACCACATTTTTACTTTTAAAATATTGAGTTCCAGAGATGAGTGAGAAGTAGCAAAATAAGTACTTGGTTAAGAATAAAATAAATGTAGCATATTATAAATGATCTAGTATGAAGGCTTAAGAAAGAAGTTTCCTTAAGTAATATTTTTCTTTTTTGTTTTTTAGCAATACAGAAATTGCACACATCTCATAGCAAAGCATGCTTGTAAAAGTGAAAAATATTTAGCAGCTTGTGCAGCAGGTAACTTTACTTAAACATTTTTTGAAAGTTAAAAGAAAATAATAGAGAGAGAATAGTTTATTATAAACTTTAACCATCAAAAACGATCATCCACCTCATGTAGAAACATCTCTAGTCTGAAGGCCTGAATATGTTGACTCATGCAGTTTTGGACATCCACTGGGTCTGAAGGGCTCCAACTACAAATGGGTAGGGCTTTTTATCTCCTTAGGTGTCAACAATAGCAGATGCCACCAGGAAGGTTCATCAGAGGAGGTGCAGCTTAACCTCCTGAGCCAGTCAAGTCATGGGGACTTCTCTGTAGCCTTTCAGGGAAAATCTAGCTTAACCCTTGGAGGGGAGGAGGAATTATGGAAGGTAGCGGTCCTATTGCATTTGTAGAATGAGTACTCTGCAAAATTGTCTCTATCTCTTTGACTATTATATTTTTATTCTTTTACATTAATTTCTAACATTTCGGTTATCCTAAATTTATGACATCTCTCTTTCAAATTTATTACTTTATCCTGCATATATCACTTGTTTTTTTTGAGTTATCTTACTATCTGAACTTTCAGTTTTTTAAAATTTTTGTCTATTGATATGTATTCAACTGTACTCATCTCTTGTCTTTTTGTAGCTTCCACAGACACTTTCAGTTCTTCTGTTGCTGCTTTGTAATTTGTTTTTGTTGTCTTTTCCCATGCTTTTATTTGCTGAGTGTGAATGTTTTATTAATTTCTTTGCTGTGAGTATTATTCTATCCATCTTGCCCTTCACTATTTCATGTATTTTGTTTTTGGTGTTATTCGTTGTGTTTTTGAAATAATTTGTCCAGTGACTCTTTTGTGGTGTAGAATTTATCATTTCAGCCTTTGATTTGTTTATTGTTATACAAGTTTTGATTGTTTTTATTTTTCTGAGAATTTGTATTATAGCTTCTTTGTTTTTTGTTTTTTCCTGATATTTTAGGTGAGAAGTTATAGATTGTGACTGGGCTGATGTCTGTTCCTTGCCCTCTTTTCAGAAAGTGTCTCATTTTCAGAGACATTTCTCTTTCTCTAAAGAAATGGTGGAGTCTTTAAGTTTAGTTTTGTGCCTTTTTTCTCCCACCTGGAGAACATGATCTGGCCTGGTCCACTTCCCCCAGTCTCAGACAAAGAGAAATATTATTGATAATCTGCAGAAGCTGCTCTTTGTACTGTTAGGCAAGCACCATGTTCATGCTTTTCTTCACCTATCCCCCGCCATTTTTCTGCTGGCTGTTTGTTTGGTATTGTTTATACATCTCCAAATGTTAGAATAGTTGCATTGTGTCTTCATATAGACAATTTTAGAAAAAAAATCATTTGACCTAGACTTGAATACTGAAGTATTTTTGAACAAAAAAAGATGTACATGTAAATAATTTTTAAAAATAATATTCATGGCATTTATAACTTATGTTTTTGTCAAAATTCAGCTACAATCAAGCACTTTTAAAAATTTCATCCTAACATATTTGTTGCATTTGTTCATAGTGGGATGTCATGAAATTCCTAGTACTAAGTTGCTTGCTTAAAAATTTTTACCTGTATGAGCTTATATGTTCCTTCTAATATATATATATATATATGTGTATATATATATATATTTTCTCAAGGGGGCACCAAGTCACACCACCTATTCCCCTCAGTCTCTTTTTGTAGTTGATTGTTCTTTGTTTAGTTTATCTTGGATTTTCTGAACCATGAATGTCACAGAATTGTCCATGGTCTGTTGATTACCAAAAAAAAGAGCATATTTCTTTTTATAAAATTCAGCTTTTATTCAAAGAGAACTTTGCCAAAGAAGTTAGAAACTTTTTATTTTCAAAGTTGCATATAAATAAAATGTTTAAACTTTTTTACACAAGCATCTGTTTTTTAAAAAATATAGTCTAAAAAAGTCACATTTCTTAATTCAGCCACTGATGTGATACATGTGCTTAATTGTTATTAATAGTATAATAATGAAAGAAATAAGAGGTTCGTTAACATTGCTGAAAAGAATGGAAATTTGAACTAAAGTACTGAGTAAGGAATATTTAATGAGTGCTACATTTTGTTTTAGTTTTTGAAGCCTTCCATTTAACTTTTATTTGAGAAAATTTAGAATTAGAATTCTGTCGCAAAAAAAAGCTTAAACAGAATGTTTAATGATATTAAAGTGTTCCCACTGTTAATATTTAGAAAAATGAACAGTGCAAGAAAATGGTGGAAATGTTACTTAAGGTTCTAATGTTCCATTTGCATGAAAAAGGTTGATGTTAATTTTATTTTTGATCTTCAGTTGATTACCATTTATCTCTACCAAAATTCTTTTGTGGCTGACAGTTCATTTGCTTTCTAGGAAAGTGGGTACTAACTAAGGACTACATAATTAATAGTGCCGAAAGTGGCAGATGGCTCAATGAAACAACTTATGAATGGGGATATAAAATTGAAAAAGACTCCCATTATTCACCTCAAATGCAATCTGCACCTAGAAGATGGCGCAAAGAACTGACAAGCACTGGTGCTCCAGGGGCCTTCCACAGATGGAAAGTTGTCCTCCTGGTTAAAGAAGGTAGTAAAGGAAGAGATTCTCTTGCAAGGTAGGTTGTAACTTCTTAAAAGTTAAAGTAATAAATGAGAAAACAGTTTTCCTGTGGCTGAACACATTTTAGTTCTGTTTCCCATGCCAATTAATTTGGACAGATGATCCACAGTATTTTCTTCTTTAATCTTCCTGGATAAGCCATTTCATACCTTTTTGTATTCTTGCTTCAGTAAAACTAAACCTGCTTTTACAAGTTTTGTTTACTTTCCTCTGATAGTGTCTGTTCTATTCTGTTCCAGATTAGTTCCTTTTGGTTTACTAACACTAAGTGGGGGGAAGAAAACAATTATCTATAATTTAATATATTGCACTAAAGAATTATCCACAAAAACTTTTTCTGATTTAATATTTCAGTTTCTTTCTGTAGCATTCTTTTTATGTTTTATGCATTTTTGTCAACATTTAATTTTGTCTGCACTCATATCTTATATTTATATTCAGACCAATGACAGATCAAACTTATTTTAAGCTTTTTTTTTTTGGTCCTCTTCATGCTGTTAATTTAATTTAAGAGTCCTAAATGCTGGAAAGGCCCAAGTTTTTCTACCAAGTAATTCACCAAGTGGAATTACTCATGTGATCTCCTCGGATACAAATCTAAGTGCAGAAGAAGCCAAGTACACCTTTGAAGCTCCCTGCTACCCAGTACAGTGTCTAGTAGATTTTCTATTTTTTGAGGTAAGAAAAATAATTAGTAAGCATGATTAAGTGTTTTGGATTTTATTGTATAAAGTACAAATTTACTCAGATAATGAAAATATATTAAGAGTAAAATGAGTATTCATCTTAAGGAAAAAAATGCATGAATTGAACTTTATAAAACTTTAAATTTCTTGCATTGTATTTAACAGTAACTTTATTATAGAACTGAAAGAAAAGAGATGGTGAAATGTGATTTTTCTGACATTGAGCCCAAATTTCAACGACACTATTTTGGTTTTCTTTTCAAACTATGGCATTTTTTGCTTCTAGTCCCCACTTCTCCCTTGACCACCTCTCCCTCCTGCCCCATAGGCACCTAAAGCTCAGATATTCGAGGCAGGGCACATTATCTTTTCCCTGATCTACCCCTCCTACTAACTTCTTTATTTCCAGTAACCCTCAGTTTACCTTCTTGGCAATGTCTTCAACTCGTCCTTCCATTTACTCTCCAAATCCAGTCAAATAGCAGTTATTCAATATTACCTCCCTGGTACTCTTCCCCCTTGCATGGTTCAAGCCCATAGCACTTCTTGCCTGGACTGTTTCAGCAGCTGTGGGTGGTTTCCTTACCTGTCCAGTCTCTCCCTTCTACACTTTATCCTCTTTGCAACCAACAGAATGATGTTCCTAAAGCTCAGGTCTGACTACATCACACCCTTGCTCAGTAAGTCTCGGTGGCTCTCTTTCAGTTCCAGGATAAAATATAAATTCCTCCTGTTTGGCATTTAAGGCCCTTCACACTATGACTCCTGCCTGTCTTTCCAGTTTCATTTCACTTTACTCTTTGATTACATCGTTCACTCCTGATAACCTGGCCTGATGATTATTTCCCAGGCTGGGCATTTCATTTCCCATCTCCATGACTTTGCTTTAACTGTCACCTCTGCTTCCTGAAGTCCCTTCAAGGGTCAACTCCAATACCATTTCCGAAGGTAAAGAGTCCTTTCCTGATTTACCTCAATTATTTGTACTTCCCTCCCATCCTCAGGAAACATTTTGTGTTTGTTCATTTATATACATGTTGTTCTCCCATTCCATCACCCCCAAGTAAGCTTCTTGAGGGCAGCAATGATTTTGTTTTTGTCTTTGTCACTGTTTAGCATAGTAACCGGCAGGCACATGTTAGGAGTTAAAATAAATACTCATTAAATACAGTTGCATCAGAATCCTTAAAAATATGCTTCAGAAGTAATTTTTAAATACTATTAAAAAGCACACTGTGCCCTGCAAAAACCAGTATACTAGATAATGATACAAGACACTCAGCTGGTTTTTCCTCTTGGATTTTCTTTTCTTCATTCCCTGCCTTTCATGTGAAAAGTAATAAATTAGTTTGTGGCAACATCTCTATTCAATTTAAGAGCAGTATTATCTGTCACCAGAGAGAAAATACTTCTTGGCTAAATGAGTTATAGGTGGGTCCTTGAAGAAGAAAGAGTGTGACAGTTGGCAGGAAGAGCTGCACACTTTTCCTTTTGTTGCAGTGAACAATTGTAACCCCATATCCTGGTCTTTTTTTGGTAGCAATTTGGTGTTTCCATTGAATATGTATATACAGTAAAGAACCTTGCACATAGTTAAGTATTTAGCAAATATTTGTTGCATTGAATAGTCAATTTTTGATTAAATATGCAATCGGAGGGCAGCAATAGTATAGAAACCCAGAAGAAAGGATAATATAGAAAAGACTTCTATTTGGTGTTGCTTTTTTTTTGTTGGGTTTTTTTTGTCTTTTATATCCTGACATCCAAGAAGTCAGAGCACTTCTTACAGATGATAAAGCCATGTTGTTGAGACATCGTTTAGAAACAAGGACTTGCCCAGCTTCTTTTTGTTTGTTTGTTTGTTTGTTTTTCCTTTTAGGCAATTGGGGTTAAGTGACTTGCCCAGGGTCACACAGCTAGTAAGTGTCAAGTGTTTGTTCTGAGGCTGGATTAGAACTCAGGTCCTCCTGACTTCAGGGCCAGTGCTCCATCCACTGCACCACCTAGCTGCCCCTTGCCCAGCTTCTGAATCCTGCCTTCTATTACCAACTCCAGGCTTGACATTAAAGATAATACTTTTCCATCAAGCTAATCCTGAACTGTCTCCTTAGGCAATCAGTATGCATTTATTAGGTGTCCATTATGTGCTGAGCATACCCAAAAAATTCTAAAGATGGTCCCTGCTTTTATAGAGTAGGGAGAGCACAAACAAACAAATATGTACAAACAAGCTATAAATAGGATAAATAGGAAATAATTAAGAGAGTAAGAATTAAGAGGGATTGGGAAAGGATTCCTGTAGAAAGTATAATTTTACCTGGGATCTGAAGGAAGCCAAAGAAGCCAGGAGATAAAGGTAAAGAGGCAGAGCATTTCAGGTATGGGAGGCAACCAGAGAAAGTGCTCAGAAGCAAGAGATGGAGTGGTTTGTTCATGGAACAGCAAGGAGGCCAGTGTCACTAGATCATAGAGTACGGGACAGGGAGTAAAGTATGAGTAGCCTGGAGAGGTGGGAGGGAGCTAGGTTATAAAGGGCTTTGAACACCAAGCAGAGGATTTTGTATTTGATCCTGGAGGCATAGAGAGCTTCGTGAATGGGGAGTGAAGGGATGAGTATATGACATGATCAGACCTGTGCGTTAGGAAAGTGACATAAGTGGCTGGATGGAGGATGGATGTGAGTGGGGAGAGGCTTGAGGCAGGTAAACCCACCAGCAGTCCATTGCAGAAATCCAGATGTGAGATGAAGAGGTCCTATTCTAGGGTGATTGGCAGTGTCAGAGGAGAGAAGGGGGTGTTTTTCAGAGATGTTGCAAATGTAAAATCAGCAGGTCTCAACAACAGCTCAGATATGGGGTGTGAGAGATAGTGAAGAGTCCAGGATGACCCCTAGGTTTAGAGCCTTAAGAATTAGGAGAATGATAGTGCCCTGGATAGGTATAGGGAAGTTTGTAAGGAAGGCACATTTAGAAGGAAAGAAAATGAGTTTAGTTTTGGGCATATTGAATTTAAAATGTCTACTGGACATCTAGTTTAAGATGTAATTCAAGTTCTGCTTAGTAGAGCTACCTTTTAGCAAGACTGAAAAGATAGTTAATTAAGCAATTATGAAGTGCTTTATTTTAAAAAACTTTACTTCTAGCTAAACCCCAGTTGAAGAATGAGTTGCATGTATAATAAACAAAAGGGGCAAATATCTTCTTGAATAACTTTTTTACAGTAGTCCACAGAGTAGTGTCTTTTCTGCTGTGCTTCTGAACAAATCAAAGAAGCATTTAGTTTTAAATTATATCACTGGAGACTTAGGCAACACTGCACTATAAAAGATATAACAGTATTTTTGTTTTAAGCCAAACCTTGAAAGAACTGTTAGAAGTCTTCAAGCTTTTGGAAACAAAGAATACAGGAACACTATGAAGCATTTGTGGTGTCACACACGCACACACACACACAATCTGTGGAAGGAACAGTAACACGGGGAGACAGGTTCAGGCTAAATATGAAGACAGTCATTCTTACAACTGTAGGAATTCAGTTTATCCTAACCGTAATCCATTAATTTGTGACTGTATGTAAAGAATGATGTTAGATACTGAGGAATATCCAACTTTAAATAAGAGACACTATATAATCCCATTGACCTTATGGTCCCAGAACTACATATATCTGCATCTTGTCCAAGACAGGAGGCCAAGTAGAATCATTTGGTTCAGAGGATGTAGTTGAGAATTTGACTGAATTACTCTAACCTTCCATACCCTTGTATAATACAACTTCCTAAGCAGAAGTTTTTATTCTTTGAATACCCACTGGTTCATATAACTGAACTAGAGAAAATATTTTGATAGTTCCTACTTTCAAGGAGTTCCTATTGTGAAGGGCTAGCTTAACTAAATGTGTACAAATCAATAAAGTAAATCTTATGTTGCATTGAGAGCAATTCTTTAGGTATTGTATTGATATCTTAGAGAAAACTCAAAACCTCAGATAAATCTGTAATCTCAAACATGTGGATGTTTCTTCTAGTGATACAGATCCTGACTCATCCCGTGTGACTCTTGTCCATATGTTCCCACAAGTATGCCTCAGGGACCACTCAATAATAGGGTTTTGCTTCCCCTTGCTGCTTCAAGTATAAGAATGAAATACAAGACCATCCATCAACCATCACTCATTTTGTGGTTCCTTATTATCTGTTGCAGATTTTTTTTTTGTATCATACCCACATGCACCGACCTCTCCAGTATCCTTTAGGTAATAATCATTTTTAATACTTCCACAAAGTCCCACCCTGATGTCTCATGGTAGCGTAGCATGAAGGTAATCAAAGGCGGTGCCAGTAGAGTGCAATGCTTTCACAGCTTCTAGCAGGTTGGAAAAGCTTTGAGTCCCAGCAGCTGCCAGAGTCTGCTTTCTGAGTACTAACTTACTGAAATATGAAGTAGGATGGCCACATGGTGGCAGATTCTTTTACCTTGGCCATGTAGGAAAAGAAGAAAAGTATAAAATAATCTCAGTCTTGTGCAGCCCACTTCTGCAAGGATAGTGTCTGAGTGGCAGAAAAAGTAACGGAGAGTGTAAAGAATCATAGATTTCAGACTCTAGGTGCTCTTGTTGTGAGATCCTTGTCCATGACCAACCAGCAAATGTATTACTGGAGCAACTGAGGCTTACGAAGCTTGACATTTTTAATATCAACAAAAGCAGAAGACAAAAAAAACCCCAGAAATTAAATGGAATGATGATTCATGGGTTTTCTTTGGTGAAACAAATGAAGAAAATGGTGGAGTTGGTTTTATTAGGTGTCCAAACACAATAAAAAACATAATTTCATGGTGTGTTTGATCATCTCACATCACAGAGCTCGTTAGAAGTGTTTGCAGAAAGACGCACATGAAAATAATTATATCTTATGCATCAATATCTAGGCTACCTACCATACGAATACCAATTAGTACCATATCAGTGTCCAGGTTTTCTATACTTCACCTACCTTGTCCTTGTCACACAGACTCAGCCTGCTGTCAGCACCAGACCCAGAGCCTTTCCAGCCTGGTAAAGGCCACCAGAGCTTGGGCTCTGCTAACATAGCTTCCAAGCACCTTCCCTCTATGGAGAAACATTGGATCATGGCTGTATGAAGGGAATAAAAGACATAGCCCATAATTAATGCTGAGATAATCTTTCTCATTGATTGAAATATAATACTTTTGCATGCATGTAGAAAGAATTTCGGAATGATGAAGATGTTCAAAGGAATTCTCTTTTAATCAAACATTCTAAAGAAGGACAAAAAGCCACCAATTCCAGGACTGGATATGAACTTGCTGACCTGAAAAAGGCATTAAGAAAACACATATGTAGAGTGGAGGTAAGGAACAAGTGAGCAAAGTTCTCACAAAATTAGTCATTTCTATTTCTGCCCTAATGTTTCTAAGATATGACTTAGATCTTCTAAGGTTTGTTACTGTTTAGTGAATATGGCTTATAGAAGTTTCTCCTTTTTAAATACTTCCCTGTAGTGATGTATATAGTATCTATGCAAATTTGCAAATGTAAGACTTCAGAAATCTGTGATAATACTGGTTCAGGCACTTCTGTGACCAACTCAAATTCCTACTTAGTCCAGGGTCCCTTCATGGCCTTAAAGATTAATGTAGCTAAATACCTTTGGCAGCGAGGTGATGCGGGAGATGCAGTGCCAGACTTGAAATCAGGAAGACGAGTTCAAATCCAGTCTCATAGGTTTACTAGCTGTGTGATCCTGGGCAAGTCATTTAACCTCCGTCTGCCTCAGTTTTGTTGACTGTAAAATGGGGATAACCTACTCTCAGAGTCATTTTGAAGATCAAACAAGATCATATTTGTAAAACATTTAGCATAGTGTCTGGCACATAGAGGCACTTAATAAATGCTTCAGCCAACTAGTTTTGAGAATGGACATGCTTAAGTAGATAACATACTGGATGATAGATAGCTATATTTGACTGGCCATGCTTAAAGCTTTTCCAGCTTGGTAGAAGCTGCTAGAGCTTATGTTTTACTGGCATGGTCTTTTGAGCCCTAAGTTAAGAAGGTATTGGAAGTATTTTGTGAACAGTGAACCATTAAAGCCATGTATAAGTCAGCTGACAATTCTGTATTTGGGGAATAGTGGCTTGAACCAAATTAAGCGTCAAGAAGAAGAGGTTTATTTGTTTTGGGGTGTGTGGGTGGTGTGTGTGTGTGTGTGTGTGTGTGTGTGTGTGTTCAGATCTATGATTTTCCTGGTATGGAAGTTCCCTCCAAATATAGATTATCAACTTATGTGTGACTTACTGCATTAGAGTGTGGTCTGGTGCACTGACAGGTTAATAGCCATCATCACAGTCACAAAGACAGTATGTGTTAGAGGCAGGCTTTGAGCCCAGTTCTACACCCCAAGGCCAGCCTCCTATCCATTACACCATGCTGCCTCTTTTTTTTTTTGTTTTTTGTTTTGTTTTGTTTTGTTTGTTTGATTTGATCAAACCTGTTATTTTATTGAAATAGGTAACTCCTGGTGAGAAAGCTCCTATAACCAAAGCAGATTGACACCTGTTCTGTACTGTGAGCTCTAGAAAGGTTTTGTGAATAGTCTGTTGCACAGCCAGTATGACTCCAGGGCCAGCTCCATCCCCTATCCCACAATGCCTTAATTTTTAAAATTGAGATAGGAAGGAGATTTCCATAGGTATTTCCAAAACATATATATTTTTGACACCAGATTTTAATGCATCTTGTGGCTGTAAAGTCTTACTCCCATGTAATATTGTGGCATGAAGATAACATTGCAGTCTCTATCTCATAAAGCACAAGCTCTAGCATGTCCTCTTAAGCTGAGAAATTTTAAGTAAAGGCCTGGAATAGACTTGTAAGGTCCTTCCTTTAAGGAACATCCAGTTAAGTTTAGGGAGCTTCCTCACCAGATTGGTTACAATGTGATATATTTTTTTTGGCTGCTTCTATTCACTAGACCATCTTCCAAGTCACAGAATATACTCTGTGTTCATGGTAGGAATACCCACCACAACAAAATCATGGGTCCTGGAAATACTGTGATATTTCCAGTTCTTTATGGTTTTTATTTGTGGTGCCTAGATTTTATCTGCAAAATAGAATACATACATACATATGTTATTCATACATGTGATGTACAAACCTACCATTTAGGCAGGAGTGTACACATTTGATTGATGGGTATTAAAATCAGACCAGTACTACTTATCTAGTTTGAACTGGAACTTAAGGTTAAATGTCTCCTTTGTAAAATGTGGCCCTGAGAAGCAAAAATTATACTACATAATGGTAATTGATTACCAAATACCAAAATAGTTTTTAAAAAGTAAGAACATTTAAAATTTATAGGTAGTTACATGAGTAATTTGTTGTAAGAACTTTTATGTGACTGCCAATATTGCAGTACCTTATTTTCCAGTTAAAGTATGTTACAGTTTTTCTGCCACTGCAAAAATTGGCCTTATCACCCTTTGAATTATACAGGATATCTCAAAAGTCTTTGTGCAGTTTTAAGCATTAATTAATGTTTAATTGTTGTACTTGTTGGTTTTACTTGGTCAAAGGACAAAATTGTTCTTTCATAGTTAGGACAGTTCATTCAAAGAAAAGCATTTTTTTCCTCTAAGTAATTGTAATAAATTGCCTCTCAGGATTGTTAAGGAACTTGAGATCAGTTAGTTCAAGCCATAGTAACCTTTTTTGATCTTATTGTTTGGTCTGAAGACCATAGAAAAGAAATCAGACATGTTTACTTGCTACAGCTGTTGGTGAGAGCAAAAACTGCTCCATATTAAAGTATTCCTTGATATTACCTTCCTGACATAATGAAAATGGAAGTGGATAGGAGAAAATTTTCAACTACCAGCTCTGGAAGTCCTGAGAGCTTGTAGTTGCAGTGATCTTAAAGCTGTAATTTAAGTGATGTTTCCCAAATAACATTTTGTTCCATTCAGGCAAGGAGACAGAATGTCCATCAGCCTCAGCCTCAGTCCGTCAGCCTCAGCTTAGAGTCCCCAATACTTATCTGGTACTCTCCCTTTAGGTGGGACCATTCTCACATCATCTGACCTGGGTCATCATTTTTACGAAAGTCCATTTACATCCTTCCATACAAATAAGATTCCTTAGCCTCCTTCCATTACTCATTTTAGGGTTTTAATAGCCCTCGTTATTAAGACGAAGTTTCTAATATCTGATTTAAGTTTTATACATCGCATCTTATATCAGCCCCTCTCTGTTCTTCACTCAGTGGTGATGTCTTTTGTAAAATTCACCTTCATTGCCTTGAAGATCTGTGAAGTTTAAGTACTCTTTGTGACAGGCTAAATGCTGTCATATTGTGCATAAGTACAATTTTTGAAATTCTGGGGAGGTTGCTAATTAAATTTCCCAAGAGAACTTCATAAAAATTAAAAGGAAGTAATTCTAATGGCTTTGAACATTTGTATGGTTCTATATATTAATTAACCTTTTATTATAACCTCAGTAAGTAAACCTTGTTGTCTAAGCTTTGTGAAAGGAAAATGGTTACAGTGGAAGAAAAAAAGAGAAACAATGCCATGCTGCATTTCTCATATTAGTGTTATCTTAGAACTTTAGCCCACAATGCAATGCACTTGAGTTAGGCAGGGAGATGGCTTAGTGGGCAGAGCCCTGGGCTAGGAGTGGGGAAGAAATTAGGAATTAGGGATCTTCCCTCAGACACTTACTAGCCATGTGACCCTGCCAAGGCACTTTACTTTTCTCAGACTCAATTTCCTCGTCTGTAAGATGAAGATGATAATGGAATAAAATAAATAACAATAATGTTATTTATAATAATCATAAAATGAGACAGTATATCACAATGAGCATCAAATGACGTCGCATATATAAAGGGCTTTGCAAACTTTAAAGTGTTGTATAAATGCTAGCTATCTTTATTATTTTGAAGAAGCTGAGGGCCAGCTACTTACCCTAACTCTCCAAGTTTCTATCATCACAAGTGTCCTTGGTCATATTTAGCTGGAATGATTATTTATGTAGATCTTATGGCTGAATTATAGAGGCCTTTTCACTCCTTTCTGACATCCTAGCTCAAACTCACACCTGGTTATTGAGACAACTTTTTTTGTAATAATAGGAAATATTTACATGTCTTTGTATTATGCTGAGCAAACTGTAAAAAACAATTATTTTATTGACCTAGGAAAATTTAAAAAAAAATTGTGAGTGTGATCTTTCAAACATGAACAGATAGCACAGTTAAACAATATTAAGGTGCCTACTATGTGTAAGGTTTGACACTTAGAGACAGTTTTAAGACAAAATGGAAAAATGGCAAGGTTGCAAGTGCTATTTGGAAAACGCTAATGCTTTTCCTTTCCCCTGTTTTCCTATGAAACGATAGAATCATAAGATTCTAATGTATTCTTAGATGTGGAGCTGGAAGGTACTTCAAAGGTCATCTAGTCAACACCTTCATTTTATAGATAAGGAAACTGAGGCCTAGGAAGTCAGATGGCTTGGCCAAAGACCCAGGTAGCAGATGGTAGAACCAGGATTGGCTTTAAGGCCCTCTCCAAATCCAGTGCTTTTTTCCACATACCATTCTGCCTCTACTATATGTTGACAGTATTGCCTCCTGGGACATCTCTAGTTGTCCTGATCCATATCTGGCCACTGGATTCAGATGGCTCTGGGGGGGAAAGTGAGGCTGTTGACTTTGCACAGCCCTCCCTCACAAATCCATTCACTTGCATGTCATGGTATCACCTCTCTGATGTCATGATCCTCTTCGAGAAACAAAATAGTATCAAAAAATAAAGATACTAGATGACTTTAGACCTTGAAATTAAATGTGACTTTAACTTTAAGAAAGTTTCAAATCCTCGATCTAGAATCTTGAAGGGTACTTCATGAGCAAAATCTTCAAAGCTAAATACAATTTGAGAAGCTAAAATAATAATTTGCAGCCTTGGTTTTGTCACAGGCCATCATATCTCCAATTATATTGTATAATTTTAATTAACCCCAAGAGGGGGAAGCGGGAGATCATAAAATCATACAAATGATTGAAAATTTACTGTCACTGATGTGAGAAAATGCAGGTGATGTTTTATAATGTTGGGGAAATGTATGCGGTTTTGTAAACCTCAGTGCTATTTTTTAATACTATCATTGTACTTATGACAGGATGCTCCTTCTTCCTCTTACATTTGCCAACATTTCAGGATTGCTACATCAGATTAGGATTTTCATTCAAACTAATATTTATTGATTGTAAACAATTTGCAATATAGATTTTTAAGTGCTCTGTTTTGATTGTTGTATTAATGTTTTATAGGCTATGAAATACAATTGCATCAAATTAGCTAAAAGTACAGGGTCCAGTACAGAGGTAAGTAATTGGATTTTTTTTCTCTCACTCTCACATATCCATCTTTTAACTGAAATATATTTTCTTTGACAGCAGAGCAGATTGTCAAATTTTTAATACATTTTCTATGGCTTGAAACTTTGAAAAGAAAAAAGTTCCAGCAAGTCTTGTGGTAGTATATTTAAATATGATATACTTAAAATACCTGTTAGTAATCATAGCAACTACTGCTCTAGTACTAACAAAATAGTAAAATAGTAGTATTAATATTGCAGCATTTCAGTGGACCTGTGATCTTATCAATGTGCATATTCCCTCCAGGGATTCAGTCCATCCATGAAACAAAGAAAAATAAAGAGGCTATTAATGTTTAACATTATTAAATGATGTTAATATTAAGTATTAATTTTATACATTGTCCCATTTGATCCTCACACCTATTCCATTAGGTAAACACTACAGATATTATCATCCCCATTTTTCCAGGCAAGAAACTGAGACTCAAACGTGTCTATGGTCTTACAAGTAGTAGAAGATGGGATTCAGACCCAGGTATTTCCTCGCTCTAAGTGGAACATTGCTTATTCTCCACCACGCTGCCTTGGGCTTAGGATACTGTTGCCATGGTTATTGTAGTGAGATGACTATGCCCAGTCATATTCCAGGGTCTTTTAGCTTTGCTCTTTTTAGAGTAGGTTGTCTTATGTTGTATGTCTCATAATTCTGGTATGTTGATGTTGTCACATAAACATCTTCTGCAAAGCAGGCATACATATTGGGTGACATCTAGATGATATTTAGTCCATATTTTTCAAGAGAAAAAAGGCCCAATTGAGGGCATTGATGGCATAGGTCAAATATTCCATTCCATCAGAGAGTTTTAGTGCTGGAAAGAGATCTTACAGATCGTCCAGCCTAATCTCCTTGTTTTATAAATGAGGGAATTGAGGCCCACACAGGCTGTGACCAGCCAAGTTTATGTATTATGAAGTTATCAATATTGGAAGTATCTCGAAATGAAGCTGACAGGTTGAGAGGTATTTGGATATTGCGGAAAGAGTGTCTAATTTTGAGACTGTTCTGCTACTTCCTAGCTGTGTGACCTTGAGCAAGTTGCTTAACATCTCTGAGCCTCACTTTTCTCATCTGTCAAAGTGAGAGGCCATACAGGAAGTCAGAACATACAGTGAGGAAGAGCTGGATCTGAGTCTTAGCTCTCACAATTATTAGTTGTGTGACCATGGGCAAATCACTTAACTTGTTTGGGCTTCAGGCAGCTTTCTAAAACTAAGCTATAGATGGGTGTGCTCTCCATTGGTGGAGGGAGTTTCCACACTGATGAAGTCATAGGTCCTGCTGACTCTGACCTTCCATTCTCACCTCATAGAGCTGTATGTGAAAACACTTTGTAAAGAGTGAAGTGCTCTATAAAGATAAAGTAGTAGTGTTAGTTTTAATTGTTAAGATCATCATTATACTTAACATTCTAGACTTTTTTCCCCTAATTTTTCTATTTTTAGGCAGCTTAGTGTAATGTATGGAATTCTGGGCCTAGAGTCAGGAAGACCTATATTCAGATGCAGCCTCAGATACTTATTAGCTATGTGACCCTGCCTGGGCTAGTCACTTTTGTTTGCCTCAGTTTCTGCATCTAAAAAATATCTGAGGATAGTAATAGTACCCAGTTTACCTCCCAGGATTGTTATGAGGATCACATGAGATTGTATTTTTAAAGCACTTAGCACAGATCCTGATACATAGTAAGCGCTATATAAATGCTAACTGTTACTAATAATTATTGTTACTGCCAATAGTTTTTATTTTGTGAAGGGGTTGCTTTCCTTTTCTGTTTATATTAGGGGGAACTCATACTTTTGTCAGTAAGTAGACTGGGAAAAAGTTAAATTGGTGTTGAACTGTTAGTATTTTTCTAAAACTTTATAAATGCAGAATTATAAGCATTGTAATGTGATGGTTTGGCACTTGAACAAGTCCCCTCCTCCTGTCTCCCCCCCAAAATAAGTAAATAAAAAGAAAGATTTGTTTCTGCAGCATCAGTACTCAAGTATGGCTAAGTATTTGGGACTAAACAAAACTTTCCCTCAGGCATACTTTACATTAATATTGATTTAGAAAATAAGTGTAATGCATACTCTGCTTATCAATGGCTAGAAACAGTGGACATTATGCAGTGTGCCACAAAAATTCAGTGTTATTACACTTGAGCAGACCCAATTTCCCTTTATCTGTTTGCCTAGAGCTGTAGCATTTTGTAGTGGCCATTCATTGTCACCATTGGACAAACTGAAACCACTAATGACAGAACTTAGAGTTCTGTCATCATTTAGCTTTCTTCCTCAGCAAAGGCAGAATTTGTGTTAAAATGAATTTATTATTAATAAGATAATGAGTTTTTTATATCTTATGTTTTTTATTCTTTATACAGTTGATATGAATATGTGGATTATTTTCGCCTGAGGACACAGCTGTTTTCCGTGTGTGTGTGTGTGTGTGTGTGTGTGTGTGTGTCAGAGTGCCCATGTGCATGGTCATATCAGCAGATACACAGGCTTTCAGCATAGGGGACTTTAGATGGTGTTTTAACCTAGCATTGCCAGCTATCCTATACATCTTTTTAAAAATTTCCTTCTCTTTATTTAATCATGCTGTCTTTTATTTCTCAGGTTAAAAACACTGAACTTCCCAGAAATGTGTGTAATATAATTGAAATCCTCATTGAAGGGCAGTTCTTTGCAGAAGCAGTTGAGGAACTGATTTTTCTACAATCACACTACATCCCTCCAATCTGTCTGCTTCATGCTCTTCTGAGCAACATGCTACAGGTGAGAAAGCAAATGTTTAAGCATGATAAAGCAAAGGAGGATAAACCCTAACTATGTTCCTGGTACCTATTAACAGGTAATCATCTTTTTCAGTACTGTTTTATGAATCCTAAACTGACATCTGGTTTCCGTTTCATAACTTTTTCCTTACACAAAATTCATTTATTTTTCGCTCTCTATATAATTAATCCTTAAGTGTAAGATAGAAACTTCTCAACCCATACAAATGCTTTAGGTCAATTAGAATTTTGTTCAGTAAACTACCTTTCTAGCACATGGATCATATTAATTTTGTTTCAGGGCATAAGGAGAAAAAATTTAAAATGGTTGTTGAGTTGTATTTTGGTGGGGGATCTGGACTTATGATTTGTTCATTATGAATAAAATTTTCACCAAATAACATTAAGTGACAAGCATATGTTAAAAAAAAACTGCTCTCTTAAAGTGATGTCCAATTTGGGAGTGTTACTTCAAGGGGAAACAAAAAATACTTCTAACTGAAATTCTTTCTTGGAGTAGTGAGCTACTTTAGATATTCCCATTTCTGTAGTATTAATAGGGAAAATAGCATTCTCACAAATAATCTGGATCCATCACTTAGAACGACACTTACGGAGATGATAAGTGTCTGTGATCCCACCTGTGATTACTTTAGACTAGTAGCATCAGATTCAAATAGAAACAGATCCCTGTGGGCCTCATATTGACTTAGAAAACCACAAATCAGCATTATCTTTGTCATTTGTATTTTTATTTCTTTTGTTAACCATTTCCCAGTTACATTTTCATCTGGTTCAGAGCACTTTTTTGCTGCCGAGTTTGACACCTCTGCTTTAGACCAGGTAACAACTGAGTCACTGTAATGTTTGCATGGAAAGCTTATACTGCTTTTTTAATTTTTGTTTTCAGTTCTAAATTCTCTCCCTCTCTCCACACCCCTCCCCAACCCACTGAGAAGGCAAGAAATATGATATACCTATTCTTTAAGAGTGCACATTTGCAAGAGAGGTGACCAGGAAGAGGGACACAATGGAGTATGAAATAGGGTGTGCTAAAAAAGCCATTAGTAATCGACTGTTTGCTTTCATTTTATAACAGGGTAACATAAAGACCTTGATTGATCGATACTTCCGTGTTCTGTCAGTTCTTCTGCATCTTCATCCTCCTTGGGAGTCTCCTGCCATGTTGAGTTATTATCTGAAATTTTTTCAATGTCCAAATTGTATGAAAGGAACATGGTCTTTTGTAGAAGTACTTATCAGGTAGGGGAATTTAAGATTGTTAATATAAATTAAAACCATTATGAATATTAGATAAATATGGAGTATGTTATTATAGATAGTTATCTAGAAGAATAATTCTCTCATTAGGAAAATACTTCAGCATTATGAAAATCAGTGATTTCGTTAATATGGGTACTCACCTCCAATTCAAATTGCAACACATCTGTGACTTCATTGAGAGGTTTCTGTGACTGAAAAATTAACCACACTGTGGCAAACCTGGTGATGAACCTTTCTGACCTTACCTGGATTTCTCCTCAGACAAAAGATAGATGGTTAATCACTGGGCCTTTATTTGAAGCCTTTCCATTTTGGTAAATTGTGACAGCTTTCAATCAGATGGCATGGTTTTCAAGAATCCAGGGTCACCTCCATGCCATAGTGAATCATAAAAAAGGACTTCAGAAGATTAGGAAAAGAGTGAATTTATATGTTCAGTAGTCGGCTTTATACAAAGGTAATTTCTTTTATCATATTAAATGATATTAAATCATATTAAATATCATCATTCTTTCAGTCTTCCTAGCCAAAAACCTTAAAATTATCTTTGATTCGTCCCTCTCCAATATACTACAATACAAATTCTGTAATTCTCTTTATAATTAACTCTCAGCCCCCACCCCCATTCCATCACTTTCTGTCTCCATGGCCTTATCACCTCACACTTAGATTACAAGCCTCCTAACTGGTTACCCTAAATCTAGTTTCTTTCCCCACCTCTATCATATCCTTGCCAGGCTAACTGTCCTCAAATACTGTTTTTATCACATTGTTGAGAATTTATAGTAGTTTCCCAGTACCTACCCTGAAGTCCAGGCTTCTGTGCCTGGCATTCAAGACCTTTCTTAATTATGCCCTGTGTTCTCTGTCCCATTCATCCCCAGAACTCACCCTGTGTTATCAAATGCTCCTACTCCTTCAAGGGCCAGCTCGAAGCCCACTTCCTTGTTTGAGTCATCTTTGATCGCTCCGGCCCTCATTAATTCTCCTCTCTCTTTGAACTACTATAGCACTTAAAGTCTTTTTCCCAGAATTTTGTACTTAGTTATGTATAGTGTCTCCAGCTCTTTCATATGTTACAGAATCACAGGATTAAAGAATTTGAACGAACCTCAGAGTTTATCCAGTCCAACCCATTGCTAACCAAGAATCCCCTCTATAGTATTCCCAACAAGTAATGATCCATTCTTTATTTAAAGACCACAAGGGAAGGAAATCCACTACCTCCTGAACATTTTCTCATTGTTTCGAATTTTTCCATAAATTGAGCTAAGATAATCTTCTTTGCAGCTTTTGAACTCATCACACCTGGTGTTGCCCTCTGGAATAGGCAGATCAGATTAAATCCTTCTACGTGAAAACCCTTCTGATATTTAAAGACGTTTCTCCAGACTGAACTCTCACAGTTTAGCCCGAACATCTGGAGTATAGAAAAATCAACTTTGCCTGTATGAGACAGGAAAACATGACTAGATTATGGTTTGACTAAAAATGATTGGTGGGGAGGGTAATGGCTTGCAGGCTGGCTATAAATCAAGAGTGTGATATGACAGCCAAAAAGCTAATGAAGCTGTAGCTACATTGAGATTGCTGCTATTGTCCAGGACCAATAAGGTGGCAGTCCTGCTGAACTGTACCCTGGTCAGATTCTGTCCACGGTGGTTTGGTCAGTTCTGAGTGCTACATTTAGGTAGATCATGTTGGTGAGTATCCCAAGAAGAGCAGCCAGAACAGTATTGGACCTAAGATTCATCAGTGTAAGGATCAGTTTAAAAATTGAGGATGATTACTCTGAGGAAGAGAAGATGGGAGGAAATGAGACCTGTTCTCTGATATCACCTGGAAGGGACTCAGTCTGTTCCACCTGTTCCCAAAGGTAGAACCAGGAACAATGGATAGAAATTACAAAGAATCCAGTGTAGTCCTGCTGTGAAAACAAAAATTTCCTAACAATTAGAACGACACCTAGGTGGAGCAATGGATGGAGTGCTAGACCTGAGGTCAAAACGTCCTGAATTCACATCCTGCCTCAAACATTTAGGAGCTCTGACCCCAGGGAAGTCACTTAACTCAGCCTCAGATTCCTCATCTATAAAATGGGGATAATAATAGCACCTACCTCCCAGGGGTTGTTGTGAGTATCAAACGAGTTAACATACTGAGCTTCATGTGAGTTAACAAGCTTTGCAAACCTTAAACCTTAAAGCAGTCTATGAATACCAGCTATTATTACTATTATTATATAAAAGTAGAATCTGCTGTCTCAAGAGGGATCAGGTTAACCCTTGTTAGAGGGATTCAGGCAATGGCTGGATGACTGTTTGTCAAGTTGGTCTACAAGGGGTCCTGCAGAAAGCTTCTTGCAGAAGGTGGGATTTGAGCTGAATCTTGAGGGAAGTGAGGAGACAGAGGTAAGGAGGGAGAACACTGGAGGATAGCCGCTGAAAAGGTATTGAGTCAAGAGTGGATTGTCATGCTCAAGGAACAGCAAGAAGGCTTGTGTCACTGGATCATAGAGTGTTTGTAGGGGGAGAGGAGTAAAATATAGGAAGACTGGAAATGTAGGAAGGGGCTGGGTTATGAAGAATTTTAAAAGCCAAACAGATGATTTTATATTTGATCCTGGAGATAATAGGGAGCCACTGAATTTATTGAGTAGAGAAGTGGCAGAGTCAGAGCTGACCTTTAGGAAGATCAGTTTGACAGCTGAGTGGAGGATTGACTGGAGTGAGAAGAATTGAAGCCAGAGAGACCAGCCAGAAGACTATTGCAGTAGTCTAGGTATGAGTTGGTAAGAATTTGCACCCGGACAGCTACTGTATGAGTGTAAAGAAGTGTACATAAAGGAAAGATAGTGAAGGTAGAAATGACAAAATTTAGCCCAAAAAAAGTTTTTTTAACACGTGGCATAAATGTGAGAGAAGAGTCAAAGATGACACTCAACTTGTGTACTTGGGTAGCTGAGAGAATACTGGTGCCCTTAATAGTAAGAACTAAGGAGCAGTCAGACAGGTTGGAGGAGAACCAGGAGAGAGCAATGTCACAAAAACCTAAAACAAGAAGCATCAGAATTTAAGAAAACCTTGAAGGTCCAATGAAACATTTTGCTTCAGTTGATGCCCCTGGTTGTTCAAGTGCTAGAGGAGAGAGTATCCAGGAAATGAGATTAATCTACAGTGTCAAAAGCTGCAGAGACATCAAGAAAAATGAAAATTCAGAAAAGGCCATTCAATTTGGCAATTAAGAAATCATTAGTAATTTTGGAGGGAACAGTTTCAGTCAATGATCAAGTCAATCCAACTTAGAAAGGATTTAGAATCAAGTAAGAGGGAAGGAAATAGAGGTATCCTGTGTAGATGGCTTTCTCAAGGAGTTTTCCCAAGAAAGGGAGGAGAGCTACAGAAGCTAGCTAGCCGAAATGGTAAGATCAGGTGAGGATTTTTTAAGGATGGTGAAGACTTGGGCATGTTTGTAGGCAGCTAGGAAGGAGCCAGTTGATCGGGAGAGATTGAAGATTTAGTAAAACAATGAGAGTGATAAAGGGGGCAGCTTGCTGGATTAGACAGGAAGAATGCATGCAAGAGCATTTACCTTAACAAGAAGAGGCACCTTTTCATGAAAGATGGCCAATTCTGTGATTCACCTCCTTCATTTACTCCTCATAGGACACAATCTTGAATCCTTTTACAACCTCTGCCTCACTGTACCTCTTCTGCATCCTTTCTAGCTTATCAATAGCCTTTCTAAATGGTGGGACTCAGAATCAAACATAATTGTACTCTCAGTGTCCTGTCAGGAGGGCAAAGTCTAGTATAGTTTCTAGTAAAACTCTCACTTCCCTTTTTTTGGACACTGCCTCTCTTAGTGTAGCCTAAATTCACATAAATTTTTTTTGCTGCCATATTGCACTGCCAACTCATATGAGCTTGCAGTCTACTAAAATCCTTTCAGCTCTGAATCTGTGATCCTATGATCTTTTCGGGGGGAAAATACCAAAAAAAATTTTTTCCAGAAAAAATTATGTTTTGCCATGCCTTCCCCATCTGTACTTGCAAAGTTAAATGTAGCACTATAGTAGCTCTGCGTTTGATGCTGTGGTATTTACAGTCTTTCCTGACTTCTCCTTTACATCTCCACTCACCCTGCCTTCCCCCACTTCATCCCCCTCCCCAGTCAGTAGTGTTCTGTCCCTCTTGACATTACTTTGTACTTACTTATCTGTGTATATCTTCTATCCTTCTTGAGAGCATAGACTATTCTGGTTTTGTCTTCTTATCTTTTGTCTCCTTACTTACAGTGTGTGCTTAATGAATGTTAGTTGAGTTGAACTGAATCTTAGATTTGGACCCTCATTGCACCTTTTTAGACCTTTTTAGATCCAGACTCTGACACTGAGTAAGTCGAGACAATTATCTTGATTTCAAAGACTTACAGTGCTTACTACAGTATCAAATATATAATCCCTTAGGGAAGAACTCAAGAAGTACTTTTTGGTTGGTTTTTATAATTAATAAATTCTCTCCATGAAAATAGAAACTTTTACATAAATTTAGGAAGGTCTAAAATAATTAGACTGATGAAGAACATATATTTTTCCCCATAAAAATATAAAAAACTCCAGGTGATAGTTAACACTTTTTCAGAAGTACAGTCTATAAGACCAGCTTATAAAATACTGAGATCTGCAGGTTTCTGATGTCAAATGCACTTGATCTGAATACATTTATTCATATATATACACACACACACACACACACACACACACACACACACACACACACTTTTTTACTTTTTTGAAAGTATTGTTTTAGAGACTAGAAACATGGCCTATGAATGTTGAAGTGGGTCATTGTGTAAAATAAATCACAAATTAATCTTTATGGTTTTTCTTTTTATGTAAAATTTTTAAAAGAGCCAAAAGTATTTGAATTGACTCATTTAATTATACTATATTAAATAGATCCATTTGTGATACTTCA